CAGCCGGGCTCTGCACATGGCTCTGACGATGGGGCCCAGACAGACCGCATGGCACTGCTGAAACTAGAGAGCTTTGCCTTTTTCCTGGCATAAATGTCTCTGTTAGTAGGAAGCTGGCAAGGAGAAGGGGACATAAGACAACCCCTGCGTGTTGTTTTCTCAGCAGCATTCGTGTGGTGGATTTATAGAAATAAAAATTAAAAAAAAGCCACACTTAGGAATGTAAAACAGCACTAGGGGAAACTGCATGCTCTGTAATAATATCTTGATAATTAAGATGGACCGTAAACCATATAACTTAAAATTTCATTGACGAAGTGCACAGGATTATAAAAACAGAGTTAACGTCCCAGGCTCTTTGATGCAGAAACTTCTGCCTTCTTGCAGACGGCGGTGAAGTCGCACCTGCGCTGCCATGAGAGGATGTGGGTGCCGGGGCAATGGGGAGGGCTCCGACCCCTTCTCACCCAGAGCTCCCCGCCCTGCCCGGCCCGGCCCGGGCCCCATCGCCGGGACAACGCTGCCCCCTCGCGGCCGGCGCGGGTCGCTCTGCGCTGCCCTTCGGGAATGCAGAGGGATTGCTTTGGCGTGCCGCCCGCCTGCATCTGCCCAGGAACGCACTTAACAGGGCCATTCCTGCCCGGTGCCGCGCGGGCGGCCCTGCCCTTCCCGCAGCCGAGCAGCGGCTGCCTCCGGCCACTCGCCTGACACGTCGCGTTGGTGCTGCCTCAGACGCTGGGAATTACGGGTCTCACCTCGCTTGACTGGGTTAAATATTTTTTTTCCACTTCGGGCCCTGTGTTTGCACAGTAAAGATCAGCAAGTCACGTCTGCTTCCATTCCCTCCGCGCTGGCAGCCTGATGTCCTTGGTACCTGGCCACCGGTTCTTAATGTACATCAACATGCACTGATATACAGCCAGGCTGATCTTTGACTCGCCTCTGAAACAGCGACACATTTTCTCAACAACAAATTATACTTTGACATTAGAAGGTGGCAATCTGTAATGGATATTGCAATCTGAAGATTGAAAGAGACTATCTGTGATCTTTGTCCTCAGCCGAGTAAGCTGGAGTCTCTCTTCCCTCCTACACGTTATTTGATTGTGGGACATAACCTTGGGATGTACTAATAATCATTAGTCAGAGCTGATATATCCGTTACAGGCCTGCCCTGCTCAGGAAGGGAGATGTTCTCTGGAACAGCAGTAAATCAGCAAAACATGCACTTAAATATACAGTAAAATGTGGTTTGAGACACGGTCCTTCATACATCATATAACAAAATGCTTTATTGAGAGAGTCACATATACAGTAATGAGGAAAGAGGGCTACTGAGATGAGACCTGCGAAGGGGAAGCGATTCTGTGGCAGGAGGGAACCAGGAGAGGTCCCTGAGCAGCTCCTGGTCCAAGGGCAGTTGTGACTCACCAAGTCCTTCTCTGCTCTCCCATAGCTGATGTGGTGTCTTGGAGGAGCTGGCAGGAGAGAAGGGAAGGGAAAGGAAGGAAGGGAGCCCTGCAGAGCTGTCCAGGGACAATGAGCCTTGAGACCCTGGAAGGGTTAGTGGAGGAGTCTGACTTGCCAGGAGGAGTGAGGGGTTTGTTCTGCTGCTCACGAACTTTGTGGGTCGGGTCGCCACTTTGTCATTTGTTTTTGCTGCTAAGCAGCTCTTTTTGCAGCTGAATGTTGCAGGAATTGTTAGAGCATCTCCTTTCTTACAGGCATTTCTCATTGTTATTTAAATCTAAGTGAATAAATAACACATGCATCCTTAGCTCTGCCAAGGAACTGGCTGAAGCAGGGGCAAACTCTCAGGGGTGAGGGAGAGGACAAACCCTCACCCCTCAGGAAGGCAGCCCCATCATCTCCCCATGCTCAGTTTGCTGGGGCATGTGCTGAAATTTTTTTTATTCTCTGGGTTCCTGGTCCTGCTGCTTTGCCTCCCTTGATTTGTGTGGTCTTAAGTAGTTGCAGAAACTGTGCCAAAAGGGCTGGCCAAGCCACCCAGCCAGATCTCCGCAATGCCTGGGGCTGGTCCCGCGTGGCTCTGGGTGAGCACTGCCTCTGCCAAGAGAGAGCCTGAGCTCACACATCCCTGCTGACCATAACAGCTGGGCCCACAGGGCCCTATGGCTTCTTCTGTGAGTCTTGTCACTCATTTTGGAGCTGACCAAATCAGCGCATGTTTGGCTTTTTTGGCATATTAGTGACAATCCAACCAACGCAGAAAATGTCCACGATGACTTAACCGTGTTGCTTAATGCAGCCTCTCTGCATTACATTTAGTGCCACTAATGTGTTGGAGGGCTGCTGTCCTCTGCTAACTGCTGTCAGAGTGGGCATCTGTAATAGAGCAGGTGCAGCACTTAGTGAGGCAACATCCTCTCTGATGCAGAGGGGGAAGAGATTTATGGACAGGCTTGAGGATGGGCAAAACCTAACCGGTTTCAGATACCATGGAAAAGCAGCAAGAATTAGTGATGGTGTTATGTGCTCAACATGCAGGTCTGGTGGCTATGGGGCAGCGGTTTACATTTTTGGTACAGCAGAGGGAAAGCGGGAATCATGGTGACACGAGATGGGAAAATAAGTATTCAAGTAAGGGTGTGGTGAATGGGCATTACTATATGCAAGTTATTTCTTTTTTTTATTATTATTATTTTTAGTTAGGATAGCTCAAGCATTGTAATGGCATCAATAAAATGGATTTAAGCCATAAATAACTGGCATTGTTTGATGCCTGTTTGACTGGTGGGGAGATAGGCTTAGGATCAGGTGTTCATTAGCTGCTTTCCACAGCCTTGGTCAGTAATTCTGATGCAAAACCACATCACTTTGCTGAGGAATGGCAACCTGACATGGGCCACAGACAGCTGCAGGCTAACCTGCACTGGAGGAACGGAGATCCCCGGTTCCAGCAGAACATATGTAACCAACACAGTTGTGCACCTAGAGAGGGAAACAAGGCAAGTCTTTCACTTGACTCTTCAGTAAATATTAGAATGGTTTGTGTCTTTCTTTTCCTAATTTTGTAATATTTTTTCCCTCCAAAATCTGTTCTAAGTGTGAGCACAGATTAATTTCCATATAAGACAAGTCACTTAACAATGGGGAAGGGGTGAATGGTTTACCTTTTAATAAATTAATCAGTGCTCATGTTTTTAACAGCCTTAAGAAGAGATAAAACCTCCATTCCTCGTCATGGCAACTACAATAAACGAAGCATCATTCAGAAGTCAAGGAAAAAACACAAGCACTTTAGGTCTCAGCCAAGTCTGCAAAGTAGCAAAACTCATTACTAATTCAAAGGAGCTGTGTCCCTCAGAGCTCACCATTACTGGTTTTACTAGTAATAATACTGGAGCAGCATAAATTTAACAGAAGGCAGAGTTTGGCATGGTGTTGAAGTGCCACTGTCCTAATCAAACACCTCCATGAGGCCTTCACTTGCTCCAGTCAGCCTGGCAAGAAGCCGTGCTGGATTGTGGGGAAAGAGCTGGGGAGGGGAAGGTTATGGTTTTATAGCTAGAGCAATCTGGTAACATTAAACCTAGAGAGACAGTGGAGGAGGCCATAGGTATTTGTAATTTATTCATAAACAGCTATGCCATCATAAGAAACTTTTTAAAATAATAAGTGATAGTTCTTAAATATTTTAAGAGTTTGTTGACCTATTTTCTCAGTTAATTAGGATTTTTTTTTTTGGCTGCATTAACAATGACTTGAATGCAGTCTGCTTTAGTTGCTACACAGTTCAGCTACACTGGGTTACAGAAACATGATTTCTTTCTGAGGCACATGACACAGGAGATGAATGCCATTGTGTCTGGACTTGTACTTAAAAACCTGTAGACTTACTAGTAGCTAGGGCATAAGCTCAACTTATTGAATATAAAACCATTCACCTAACATCCTTTTGAGTCCTAAAACAAATGTCTTTTCAATTACAGTGCTACCCTTGGTTTTTCTGCAGCAGAAGGGCCATGGTGCAGTTGCCCTTCTCTTCAAAGTGCAATGGTTAAGACCATCAAGCTCATCTCTACAAGCTGCATTTGTGAGTACACTTCTTTTCTTACTCATTTTTTTGCCCCAGGTTCACTAGGCCTAGAAGTTAACTTGACAGAAATTTGTCCATGTGTGTAGCACAAAACATTATGTCCCTGATCACAGTACAGTAGTATGGTCAGAAACACATAGTTGAACACTAATAGAAGGCACTATTAGCAAAAGATGCACTGTGTTCATCAAACGGGGGTTGGAGCAGAGAACTCAGCTATGTCCCACCTGTCTCCTCTGAAGTCAATGATCTTTTAAGGGAGGACATGAGAGCAGGGCTTTGACTGACTATCCAGCATGAAGATGGCCAACTAGTTGGAGATTCCCCCTGACAGAGGGGTAAATTGTCACTAGGAAGGCTGTGTGAGCCATCAGGGTCCCGTCATTATCTGCTTAGCTCAGGGGGAACTGCTGTGGGTTGTGCATTAAGCTGCAGCACCAAAATGTGTCCCCCATTACACAGCTTGGGAACCATCTGAGCTGATCCACCCTAGACAAGGACACCAGAAGGGCCAATTCCTGCTCTCTGAAAGGCTCTAAAATGTGTATCTCAAGAGGATCATTATCAGGACTGTTTCTGACTATTTTAAAGCTGCAACAAAATAAACCTTTACCCTTGCTGTTATCACTTGTCTCTTAGGAGGTGTCCAGGATTGTGATGTTTTCCAAGGGCTGTTTTAGCGGCATCCTGCAGAAAACCACACGGTTGGAGAAAAGTTTATACAAACTCAGAGCACAAGGATGCTGTTAACTTCCCATGCAGCCTTTGCTGCTCCAAAGTGACCTGGGAAGGGTACTTCTCAGTCCGTGTCTCTGCACAGAGTGTTACCGAGCTGACTCGGTAAAGTAAAAGACTCAGTAAATGCCGCCTGTCAGGCTGCAACAAGCTTCCTCGTCAGGTGCAAATGGACAGGAAAGATTTTCTTCCATTTGCACCTGATGAGGAGGCATGTTTCTCCCCCAAAAGCTGGTATCTGCCACCCTGTGTTTCACTCCCATGGATCAATTCAGCGTCCTTCGAATCAATGTTCTCCACTAATGAGTTATTGCTTTTTTATTTTCGAATTGAAACTTAAAATCTACCGGCAAATATTTTGTCATCCAAGAGATACCAGGTGCACAGAATCAAACCTGTAAGCTCCTAAATGAGAATTATTGGGTTTATATCACGGGTTTGTAGTTCCTAGAGAGAAATATAACACTAGAAACTTTTGCTGAGATTAAACAGGAGTCAATACTACAGTGCAGAGGAAGAATTTCTATTTTTGGCTACACCCTTAAGGCAGCAGAGGAAGTGTATGTCATGGCTGAAGTGACAGCTAATGAGCAGATATACAATATTAATTGCAGTAAGTGTAACACACTGAACAATCTATCAACTTCTATTTTCTCAACAGCTGTAGCTTAAATACTTTTGACTAACACCTGTGTCTGAACTGGCTGCTTTGAGTTTGTTTACCTACATGGCAGCACACAGAGAAACTAAACCACCACCTCCTATAACCTGTGCCGTGCAGCCCGGGCTATTTGCACCCGCACTGGCCGCTGTAGCGCTGCTTTCAGCGTTGCAGATGTTCAGATGATTGTCTTCTTCCCTCTGCTCTGGGGGCTGACCCAGTTGTACTCGGCTTGCACCAGCACGAAGCTGTTTTCCCGGATCCTTCGGAAGTGCACCGCCTCCCCGTTTTCCCTGGCGGCGATGCCGGGGTCCGGCTCGCCGAAGGACACCTCCGTCCGCTTGTGGCAGTGCTGGGCACAGACACAGCGCACGGCGGCTGCCAGCGCCAGGCCCAGGGCGGCCGTGCAGACCAGCAGGATGCCAAGTTGGGCTGCAAGGAGTCGGCTTCCTCTGCCAAGGTCTTCCCCTTTCCCAGGAACAGCAGATTTGGGAGCTGGTCTGGTCACCCATGCCAGGGTATTCCCACCTGCCTCCTCCTCTTTCTCTTCCTCACCCCGGGTGCCGGTCTCCTCTGGCAGCGGTGCCAACTCTCTTTCTGCCATTTGCCTTGAAGCCAAGGACAAATTGCCAGCAGTGCTGGCATCCCCAAACCAGGCTGTGGTTGCAGCAGCATCACCCAGGTGAGTGTGTACGTGCAGGGCAGAGGGAGACGCTGTCACATGCAGGGAGTCTTTCGAGACTGCCTCGCTCTTGGTACTGGCCTTTGAAAGCAAAAACACACCAAAATGTGTTTGAGGAAGGAAGAGAAAGGGGGGTGATTATGTTCTCACTACCTACATCATAGTACAGTTCAACTCTTGACACCCACATGTCCCTTTGCCCTTAAAATAACCCTTCTCCATTCCCTGGTTACTCAGTACCTTTTAGAAAATGAGCCAGATGAAACCCTGCTCCATCCATATCAATTCCCATGGGAGGGACAATGTACTGGAGCTGGTCCCAGGGGCAAAGGCAGAGTGGGTTGAAGGGGCAAGGGTGAAGGGCAAAGGTGGAGAGGAAAGTCACTGCTTTGCCTAAGTAAAGGTCTGTAGTTCCCGTTGTTGTGGTAGTATTTTTCACAGTCATAGTTATCACAGAAAAAAAAATCACTTAATAAACAATTCCCACTTTGAGTGATGCCAGGGTCATGCTGAAAGAGCAGCTGTGACCTTCCCAGCCCAGCTTCATGTTTAGTCACGTGGGCCTACTGGGATTCGGTATCACCCTTCTGGGGCTTTATAGAGCTGTGGAGCAGAGGGACACAGGAGACTTGGGATGGCCTTTGACATCAGTGGTTTTGGGGCAGTCACATACAACCTATGAACTCTTCCCAAAGCCTGCCTTGCTATCTAAGCATACACAGCTGGTTTGAAATCGTCTGCCTCTCTGTGTTGCTTAACCACCCATTTTAGTGGGAATGACTGTTCTTGCCTGCTCCTGTTTGTGGGCACTGTCTGGTTCCATGCACCTTATTTTATCTGTCACAAAATGACAGCAGCTCCATGCCAGTTCTGCAGCCCAGGCTTTGCTGCAGGTGTTATCCAAGACCAACTGGGAAACAATCATACAATTTATTTGAATTTTTCCATTCCCACTGTGCATCTGAGCCCCCATCCAAAACCTGCAAAACGTACTGGAGTTTTTCCTTTGGCTCCAGTGAGACTTGAATCTGGCCCTCAGTAACTGGCACCTCTCCAGCCTGTCCAGCCCAGCAGGCTTTTTCACACTTCCATTAATTACACCAGAGAAACTCTCACCCTCTACCATCATTAGCGATTTCTAAGGCTTCCTGGGAAGACAGTGTGACAGGAGCACAAAGCTGAGGTAGGAGCCCTGGCAAGCTGTGAAGCAAAGTAGTGGAGGGTCAAAGCATCCTTTGTGGAAGAGACAGTTTCTGAAGGTGCTAGTAAAGTGCAGTAGTAAATAGAAGACTTTCAGTGGCTGAACTCCAAACTGTAAAGTAGCTGACTGGTGAAGTTAGGATTGCATGTGTATGGATCACTTGCCCTCAAAATGCAAACAGCATACTGTAAGGATATACTGCAGGACTTGGGACTTTGGGATAGAAAATGGAATTTCCTCGCAAGTCCTTGCCCTATCTCACCTCATTTCTCCTTTCTTTTCATACTCCTTCTCTCCATTCTTGCCTAATTTCCCAATATTTTTATTTCATTATGCTCTTCTTGTCTTGCCTTGTGCAATAACTCTTCCTTTCCTTTGTTTCAATCTTCTGCCATTTCTCCACTTCTCTCTGTGGCTATGCCAGGTGCTCATGATACATATCTTTCCTTTACTTGTACCCTGTCCTCTGCTCCTTCCTAAATATTTCTGCCTCATTCTTTGCTGTATGACCCTTTCCCCTTTTTTCTTCTGTGAGGTTATTTCTCTTCCTCCTGTGGCATCCTGCAATCCAGATCTAATTCTTTATTTTCTTTGTATTTTTCTTCTCTCCATCCTCTGCGGACTTCCACTGTTAACACTGTACCCTCTGTCTCTAAGCTGTCCCTGCTTTCCAGCTTCTCCACTAGTTCCCATGTGAGCATCTTTATCTGTCTCTGCAGCCCTGGTATTCTCTGGTTTCTCTCCCTCCTCTGTTCTCCACTTAATTCCTCAGATGCCCTCCTAGTTCCCACATCTCCTTCCATACGTACAGCTGCCCCACTGCCCTGAGACTGCAGTCCTTTCACCCCTTTCTGGGCTTCCTGTCCTGAGATCACCCCTTCCTGAAAGGTACTTTCACCCACTCATCCTGCCTGCCAGCTCCTGCTCTTCCAGCAGTCTCTGACGAGTGCACCCCATGCCTGTGGCTAACCCCACCAGCACCACGTCTGCCTTTCTGACCCATCCAGCCTCAGAAAGTACAGACCTTCTTTGGGCATCCCTGGGAAAAATTAAGTCTTCGACCTCTGGTGGATTTCTTGGGTGGTATCTATCCAGCAGCCCTGGAAAGGAACATCTCAGCCTTCCACAGGAATAAAACACACATTTCCAGCCCAGTAACACCCAGTAGTCATGTCCACATACAGGAAAGCTGGTTTAGATTGGTTTTACAGTGAGACTGTTAAAAACCCAGGCAACTGGCTCAAAAAAAAAATGCCTAAAAAGAGATATGAAAACTAGTTTCCAGTGAAAGTAAAAAAATTAAAACTTTTAACAGGCTCAACGTAGTTTTAGCCACTTAGCTATGTGGGCTGCTTGGTGCTGTGATGCAGTAGAGAGGTTTTATCCTCAATCTTCTCTTAGACCTTTCTGTCCTTGGAGGAGGCGTCCTCCCTGACCGCACTGCTTACCTGCCTGTGGTCTGTACACGTCAAACACAAGCGTGGGGTGGCAGTGCTGGCATTGCTTCCTGCTCTGAGATATGGATAGAGGAAAGGCAGGGTTAGTAAGTGAGACCTGTCACCATGGCTCACATGGGAATCCCTGTTTCTCACACCACCAAGAAGTGTGCCACTCCTTAGAGCATTTTCGGAACACATGCGGTCAACACAGACCACATGGGCTGTATTTTTAATAGTGCCTGATCATTTATTCCTATCCCCATCATTTTCACCCCCAGGATGAAATGTGGCATGAAAGTTCAAGTAGTCCAAACCCCCTAAGACTTCTGAGCAGACAACCTCAACCCCAAATTTCATAATTGCTTTGCATCCTTTTTTCCTTTTCCCTGCAGATGGAGAAATAGGTCTGCTGAGTTCACTGTTTCATTGAATATCTGCATGCACTTTCAAGGAAATATTCTGGCAGCCAATGGTTTTCATCACATTTTTCTGCCACTTGACCAGTCCTCCACTGGGCTGAACAGTGTAGCATTGGGTTCTTATGAGTTTTGGATTTTCTCCCTGTCACTGTCTGTCATGTGCAATCTCCAAAGGATTATGTTTCAAAATCCCAGCAAGCAAACACCATCTTGCCTCCCCCCCAGCCACAGACACCTTCCTACATAGACCCTTGTTCATCTGCAGGGAAACTAGTACTATTTTCCTTCCCTATAAGGACTGGAGAAATAGCTCTTCCCACCACCGAGTTTACCCATTGGAGGTGCTGAAGCTGGAGGCATTGTTCTGGGAGAGGAAACCTTGCAAGGCATCCACCGTGCTTGCTTCTTGGGTGGGAAAGGATGGCTCCAGTGCCCGGCCTCTGGACCTGACGTTCCCACCGGACACAGCCCGTGAAGTCCGTGCCGGCTGCTTTGGCTCAGCAATGGGACGGGCATCTGACCCGACTCCAAAACCTGGCTCTGGTGCTGGTGTTGCCATGTTGCCAGTGGGGCTGGCAGGCGGTGCCGGAGTGCGCAGGGGGGAGCCTGCAGGAGAGGTGGGACCTTGTCCAACAGGGAGACAAAGCAAAGAGCAGGGAGAGAGGAGCAGAAGTCTCTTGTCTTGGGTTTGTTTATTTCAAATCCCACTCGGTGCCAACGCTTGCCAGGAAGGTTTGTAATAGCGAGTCTTTTATTTTCATGTCACTTGTTTTTAAGAGGGAACCCAGATGAAAATTAAAGCAGCAAAGCTCTCTGCCTATGTTATGGTCAAGTAAAATAACTAAAACTCAGTCTTGTTGCCATGACAAAAATGCTGAGAAATACATCTGCTTTGGGTATAAGTAAATTCATGGAGCTCCTTACTAACCAAAGGCTGCATAAGTACAACTAAATATATACCTGAGGAGCAATAGTCACATTTAAGAGACAAATATGTTCCTCTGCTTAGACAACATTGCTAATTGCACTTCCTTATCTTCAAAAGCTGGGATTTTAGGTAAAGTATGTTTTATGTTAGGGTTTGCATTGAATCATAAGATCTGGCAACCCTGTTTAACTTTCCGGTACCCTCCTTGGAACTGGCTCCATCACTTCAAGTGCTGGCCCATGCCCTCACTTCAAGGAGCTCACCAGAGCCATCACTGGTCTCCTTGGTGGTCACAGGAGTTAAAACAGGTCCCCCCAGCTTGTTTGGGTCACTTGTGTCGAATGCTTGCCCAGAATAAGCTGTAAAACTACTCTGCAGGAAGCCAACCCTTACCTTTGCTCACCGTTCCTGTGGAGTGTGTGTCATCTGGTCCCTGCGAGGGCACAGGGGCTGCAGTGTAGGGCTTCTTGCTACTGCCAGCAAGCGTCTTGTTTTGCCCCCCCTGAGCCACGATGGCAGATTCAATCTTTGCCCAGTAAACAAAGTATGACTGGACTATGGAGATGCTGTTAAAACATAATTAGGCAAGAATTTATTTGCTCTGTAGCATTGATAAAACACAAAGACTGCTTTAATCTGAAGAGAGAACGGATGCAAAAGTATTTTAAAGGATTAGCCTGTCATACATTTTCTATTACAAATGAAAGATACCCGGTCTCATAAGAAAGATTCGGGGTGAAGAATCACCACCCATAATTAAGATCAGCCAAAAATGTGTGGGAACTTAAATAAAAAGAAATAAGAAAAGCTCTATTACATTCACCATGTTAATAGAAGTACATTTGTAAAACTTGGACTAGCTCAGTTTATAATCTTCCGTAGGCAGGGAAACAACAGTGGTATTTACTAATTAAAACAAGTCAGTGTAACTTGTACAAACAGCAGAATAGGTAAGGGCAAAAAAAGTCTCTCTTCTCAGTCCTCTGATATTTGAGCCTGCCTAATCCTCTGCTTTTTGTCAGGTGCCAAAACTGCATTGGCCAACCTTTAACTGTTCACCCAGAGAGCCTTATTTAAGCTGGAGATTTTGGGAGAATTTCAGCTCAGATTGCTCAGCTACTTCTGAGAGTTAGCTAAGGGGAAACCAGTTTGGGTTTTCCTGTGCCAGATGATTCTTACAAGGTATTTTTAAGCCTAACAAGGAGTTTTTCCAGATGCTGTGTTAGGGCAAAAAGGGAGAAGCTATCAGAAGTCATCTTGGAGGGTCAAAAGCCAGAGGGCAAAGGAAATATCAGAGCGGATGTCTAGGACTAGGTGTTGTTGGGTATTGTTTGAGTTTATTTGGTTGCTTGAGCTTTATGTGGCTTAAATAGTATTTCCTGATTTAAAACAATGGCCAAAAATTGGAAATTCCAAGCAGCAATATTTCTGTTTCAATGAATTTTTATTGAATTACGATGAGGTGCACAAGCCACAGCACTCACCAGGATGCTTATGTTTTGGGAAGCAGCCAAGGATCTGGCCAAGCAGCTTCTAAGTGGTTTTGTAAAGTCAAAAAATAACAATTTAATCTCTTTCAAAATGAAAAGCTGCTGTGCTTCCTCTAAGACAGTCAGTTAGAAGACTTTTTATTTCATTCCAAGTCAGAACCAAACTACTTGAAGAGTTTGGGACTTTGGTACAAAACAGAGACGTCAAGTTTTGACACAGTGCTTGCTCTCTTTTTAATGTGAATAGTTCTATTTACATTTTACTTTTTTTAAAACTACTAATTTTTAATTATTTTTTAAGAGGTTGTATACAAGATTATCCTGTGGGCAGGGAAGTCCTATGGGTTGTGTTATTTACAAAGACAGGCAATATAATCACAGTTCTGTCTTTATGCCTTAATATTTCTATTTCCTAAATGCCCAGGCTGTCATCTTTCAGTGTGTTTGTTCTGAGAAAATAGTGACCATGTAAATAAAAAGCAGCACTACCTAGCAGACATTAATGGTGATTTACGTGCCAGCTGGGATACTGTTGCACCATTTGGTAAGTATTTAGCTGTATTGGGTTCAAGATATATAAACAACTTTGCTGGACAAGTATGATGGAAAAATAAAGCCAAGCCTTTAAACTGAGAGGACACAAATTCTGGTTAGGAACCAGCACATCCTTACAAAAACTTGATGTCTCCAATGGGTTGGTCTGGTGCTTTCCATACAAAGGACAGGTTTCTTTTCAGTGACTTGTCCGAGTGGGTAACAGTGTCCCCATCTTCAAAACAAGTCAGCAGCTTGGAACCAGGAGGCATGAAGATGAATGTGCCAGCGATTTCGTTGTTGGACACTTTGCGAGCTTGGAGCATAAAGCCCATATAGTCCCGGGTGCTCCTCACTGTCACTGGAAGACAAAACATGGGACAGAAGGGATTTGTCTAATAGTTATGGAGTTAATTGTCTGCAATGGATTTTCCAGTGATAGCACTGTAACCAAAAGAAAACCTTGGGCAACAACACTGAAAACACTTCAGGACCAGTGATGATGGGACCAGGACATGCTGCCAACTGTGCCTAAGAGTCAGGTGAGTCACCCAGACCGCTTTGTGTGGTGCAGAGGAGCAGTGAAGGTGACTTTACCCTCTGGAAGTGCCTCTCATGCCATTGCATGTAATGAGGTCTGCTATGGTTAAGACACAATTGAGATAAATAAATCCCCTCCAAAGCACCCAAACCTACCAGCTGCCTCCAGCCAACAGTTGGTTTGCAACACGGTGAAAACCTGGAGTCAACCATCACCTGAGAAACCTTAGGCCAAGTGCTGCAAACAGAATTCCTCTGTAAATACATTCATTTCCTCATGACGAGAGAGGTGGTGTTGCTCACTCAGACCAGTTATCCCTCTTCCCTGACCTCACAAAGATTCATGCCATCACTTGAGATGAGTTATCATGTATTTTTCAGATGAAGGAAGCTGTTCCTTACCTGGAACCTTGTCACCTGGGAAGTAGAAGGACATGTTGGTGTGGACAGTGACGTAGTTGCTGTTGGGGCTGTGCAGCTGCACTCTGAGGTGCCTGGGCATCATGTCGGCACAGGCAGAAAGGCTCGCGCCGTGCGAGAAGGCGGCCGCGCAAGAGACCAAGCACAGGGTGGTACATGCCCAGCCAACAATGGCAGTGTGGGCTCTCCTGCCATCCTCCATCCTACAGCAGAAAACAATGTGGAGGTTCACTTCAAAGCAGTGGCTTCAGCAGCCTGTGAGCCCGTCTGGAGCCATTGATTTAGCTGATCTGCAGAACCACCGTTCCCACAGGGTTTAAACAAAGGAAAATAGATTATCTTTGAGGCACCTGGAGACACTTTTGAATCCACAGTATTCACATTCTGAAGTAATTGTTGCGGCTGGAAGGGAAGAGGCCTCACAGGAGGATGTATTTCTTGTGAAGTTGCCCGTGGAGGGAGCAGTCAAGGAAGATTTACTCTGAAAAGTCTTATGGGCTTTAGGAGGAGGAGAAGGCTCTGTACGGCCACGCTCAGCACACAGCACCATTCCCAGCCCAAACGTACAACCTGATCAATGGGGAAAACATCTCTCCTTAGACCTACAGAGCTGCTGCAGACCTCCATTGCATGTGGGGCTGGTGCCCAGAGCAGAGCCTCTCCCTGCCTGTCGTCTCAGAGCCATGTCCCTGCACTGACAGCACGTGGCTGCCCCTCACACTGGGCTGGTTGTGACCACTGGACCCCTGTCTGGCCACCCAGCAGCATTTAGGCTTGTCCTTCTCAATCAGGGCTTGCTGTAGCTGACGACACAATAATGATGCTGTCTGTGAAGTCAGTTGGAACCCTGAGATAACTTGGTGGCAGTTTTGGCTATTACCAGGATTTCTCCTTATTCTCAAGTTTTTAATCCAAACTAGCATTTTTTTCTCAACACAGTTCAAGTTTAATATTTGGTATGCTGTGTCATCAGTACCTCACGGCTTTGGTGGCTGGCGTAAGACACATTTCCAGATTAACTAGAGTATTGTGTTATTCTGATTTTTCAAAATGCACTTTTGAAAGTGAAGCTGAAGGATGAGTGTGGGGTATTTGTTGTAATGGATATCGTAAGGCAGGTGGTTCATATTTTAATATAGTGCTTTCTAACATGTTCTTTCCAACATGCAGCTTTTTGTGCCTTAGATTTCGTTACACTTAGTCAATAGATAGATGTAAATGAATCAGAGGAAACCAGAGGCTGAGGAGGTCTAGTTACACCTCCCTCTTTAGCACTTCTGAAACTTGCCAGCTGACTAACAAACCACCACAGCACATGAAATTGTTCGTGCCTGGACTGAAGCAGCAAGCAGTTTAACCTTCCATAGCCAAGCATCCTGCCACTCCAACCAGTTACATGCCAGAAGATGCTTGTGGGAGTCACAGGAGCCTTTGCTAACTATTCCAGCCCCTGTTGGACCAGCGGCAGGATGCCTCCTCCTCCCAGAGCCAGCCTCTCCTCCGGGCACACATAAACCTCACTTGCTGGATAAGATTTCTCACAGGAGCTTATAGAAGTACCCCTGAGCTTCAGCTCTTTCCCTCCAGTGTTTCCCAGGCCGTGCCACCTTTCCCTATCCCACCCCCAGCTGCCCTCCTGTGCCCATCACGGCAGGGGAGCAATGCTCTGCTCCCCAGGGCTGCCCGGTGCCGCCATCGCTTACCTTGGGACACGAGCGCTGCCGGGCTCGCTGCCGCTACTGCCCTCCCAGCCCGCTGGAGACCCATCCTTTCAGAGATCTTCTTCTCTCCCTCCTCTAATGGGAAGTGCAGCAGCTGTTACTCCTAATACCCACCACCCACAGCAGCTCTCTGCCAGTGCCCAAATCCTGCCTTAATCATATTAGTTTTTCTCTTCACATCCCACCCCTTTTTTTTTTTTTTTATAAATCTCCAAGCTTCTGCAATGAAAACAAAGGCAACCGGGGTGGGGGGGGGCACAGCAAGTCATGGGGTTTGTGTGGGACACTCTGGAACTCCTTTGGTTGGACTTTTGCTTCCCTGTTACCCTCCCCACACACATATCCCCCCTTCTGTGCTGAAGCAAAGCAAAGCCACCTCAGCTCCCTCCATGACCCCAGGCAGTGTGCCCTGTCTCTCACGCTTACATGGGATTAATTTTGGCAGTAAAAGCAGATTTTTGCTAGAAAGGCTGGGAAGGCACATCCCATGCGCCAGCCCTTGCAGAAGGAGCCATCAACACCCCACAGATCGCCAAAGCCGGCACAGGGGACTAAACATCTGCTAGGTGTGACTGTACCCCGACACAAGAGCTGTATTTAAGTCCAGGCTGTGAGCCCTGCTCCTTGCTTGAGCTACGCTGCAGCTGTCCTGGCAATCGACTGTGGAGCTGATCCTGTCCCTGGGCTTCCCAGCTCCTCCTCAGATCCACCTCATCACTGCAGACTGCTCTGGTGATCTGGTGATTGGGACTCCCGGCCAAACCCAGCCACTGTCACCAGGCCCACCTCACTCCCTGACAGTATCTTATTGCTCGCAACAAATGGAAATTAGGGTCCAGTTAATCATCAGTGCTACCATCAGGAGATGCTGAACAAACTGCTGGCAGCATGTGGCTCCAAGTAGGGCTGGATGAATGGAATAACAAACCCATCAGCTGTCTGCCCTTTCTTCAGCCGACAGACCCTTAGGAGGCATCATCAAGTGTCCCAGGGCCACTGGGAGGAGGGCTGGCCCTGTGATGCAAGAAAGTTATTTAAGATAGGTGAGCAAAGGAGTGCTTGGGGCCCTTTAGTCCTCCTCCTCCTCCTCCTTGGATAAATATGTGTCTGATGGCTGAATGAGTTCATGCTGGTGATTGGGCCGCTGTCCCAGCAGGACACCACTGCTCTCTCCTGTGCCGTGACTAAAGAGGATGCACCAACACACAGGCAACACTACTGGGTTTTGTTTCTGCAGCTCCAGCAGTGCCTTAAATTTAATCTTGAATACAGTCTGACCAGTGTGGGAGTCTGTCCAGAGTGGACATCCTGGTGACTGCCTAGGGCACTCCCCAGAAACTGGAGGCAAGCTTGCAGATGCCCCTCTTATTAGCGCTTTTCCCATCAGCCTGTCCTGCTCTACAGCCTGTCCTTTGGAAGTGTCACAAGACTCTGGGCTGGCACTGAGCTACTGCTGCTGACAGCCCAGCTCTCAGCTGTTTAACTGGTTAGAAAATATGGGAACTGGTGGTACTGGGCTCTCATTAGTCAGCTCTCCTCTGTGTTGGAAAGAGGCCTTAAAGTTACCAAAGAATTTCAAGATACAATGTGATTCTTGTAGGTTTTTTTCCTTTTGTCAGTGGAAGGAGAGTGTAGTTCAGGGAAGGGAGGAAAAGTTTATTACTTCTGTTCTAGTTTGTAATTCTTCATATACAGAAGAGAATACCTTTATGCTGCATCATTGACTAATGCTGTCTTATGCTTTTCCTTACTAACCTATTCCTAGGCTAAACCATCCCTTGCTTATAACAAAGCAGTAGCTCCAGACCTCTGACAATTTGCAGGAGAAATGCCAAAGACATTACAGCCATTCTGGCACAGTGTTCAGGTCTGAAAACAGTATTCCATGTGAGTGTGGGTCTTTGCATCATGGCACAGTGTTACAGCATTGCATTGTCTTCTTCAGCTGCTGCCCTGGATATGGCACACATTTTCTTTATGCCAGCTCCAGTGAGAACCATTTCTCCACTAGCTTCCACCTGAAAAGAGGGGGAAAGCAGCAAAGAGCAGACACTGAAATAGCAGTGTTGGGTGTTCCCTGGGCTCCATGTGAAGCTGTGGGCAGAAGGGAGAAGAGGCTCAAAGAAATGAGGCCCAAATCCAACCCCTCTGTAGCAGCACAGCATGCAGGGTGGTGCTGAACTGTCTCTGCTCACTTCCGAGGCTGCAGCAGCCTCTGGCAGGGCAGGGTGTGCTGCCCTACGCAGCTTTAGCAGCACTAGTCAGCAGAGCTGCACAACGCTGCCTGGTTAATTGCTGGGCTGCTCTGAAACACAGCCTTATGCAGCATTCATCCTCACTGCCTGCTCTCAAGCAGAGGAACTCGGTGGCTTCAAAGCTGCTCTCAAACCAAATGTCAGAACCATCTCCTGCTCAGGGATGGAAAAAGCCCGTCGCAGTCATTACCGTGACACAGGCACCTACCAGCAGCCTCCAACTGCACGTTCAAATGCCAAGTGACAGGCAGATGTTTGCAGTAAGAAATACAGCCCTCTCAGAGCCTCTGGTTGCATCACCCACCAGGACAGCATTGCCTCAGCCTCCTCTGGCCAGAGCTTTGACCTGCAGGAGTCACTTGAGCTCAGCCGGGCTCTGCACATGGCTCTGACGATGGGGCCCAGAGAGACCACATGGCACTGCTGAAACTAGAGAGCTTTGCCTTTTTCCTGGCATAAATGTCTCTGTTAGTAGGAAGCTGGCAGGGAGAAGGGGACGTAAGACAACTTAACCCCTGCGTGTTGTTTTCTCAGCAGCATTCATGTGATGGATTTCTAGAAACAAAAATAAGAAAAAGAAATCCACAGTTGGGAATTTAAAATAGCACTGGGGAAACAGTGCATGTTCTGTAATAGCTTGATAATTAAGATAGACTATAAAATATATAACTTGAAGTTTCACTGATGATATGCTCAGAAGGATTATAAACCCAGTAACATCCCAGGCTCTTTGATGCAGAATCTTTATCATTTTTGCAGATTGCTTCTACATCTCCACATCTCCACATCACAGGGGCACAACAGGGGTGGCAGATGTGGAGCAGGTGCAGTGGAGATGTAATATGGACATGGATGTAACCAAGCTGGTTGTTTGACAGGTTGAGAAATGCTTTGCTACTGCAAGATAATAATGGTTTTAAAAAGTTAGAAGTCCCTCCTGTTCAACTAGCGGCCACTTGAGTCCTGTGAACAAAGTTTGAGAGTGCTTAGAGAAGAATGGGCAAGTTGAACAAGTAGAGAGCTTGAAGGTGGCAACAGTTGGGTCCAGATCACAAGGCACTGATCATTAAACTAACAAAGTTGGCAGCACCACCTTATTTAAGAATATTTCAGGTCATCTTTGAAACAAAGAGCAGTGGCCAACTGCAAGATGAGTCATTAAAAATCCACAGTAGGAGTGTGGTGAAAACCTGTGAGTAGTCCCACAGGGAAAATGGAGAACAGTG